TCGAGAAATTAAAAAAAATAAACAAAATTATTTACTCATTTTCTAATTAATGAATTAAAAAACCCAAAAATGGCAGGCATGCTAATTTGCATGGGTTGACTCGGACCCTAACGTTTCCCGGTTCTCGAGCGCGTTTGCTGCGCCGCGCCCAAAACCCCAACCGTCACCCCCATTTCAAGCTGTAGGGTTTATCGCACCACAAGAAGAAGAGGGCAGCTCACACCACCCTCAGATGGCTGCTATACTTACCTTCTTGCATTGCATTTCTTCAGAAGTATGATCCGAATAATAGATCACTTGGATGATATAAAATACAGATTGATGATAATAGTAAATTTATTTGTTATATTGCATGGAAGATTGTAGAATGGAAAAGCAACATATGTCATGGACTTAGGTGCTTTACGGTGTATGCTTAACAGTAGATAGTGGAAGCAAACAGTAATCATCAAGAAATGAGAAAGATGTCTGAAAAAAAAGTAGAAAAGCATCTTTATTTTCCTTAGAAAGATAGCAAGAATTTGTTGGTTCAGGAAGCCAGCTTAAATGTTGTTGATTAGATGCTTTCTTTTTAAGTTCCTTATCCTTTCACTTGATTATTGAATTGAAAAAGTCAACTAGACAAGTTGGTTTAATCATGAACTCGGTGATCCAATGACTGATTAGTACCAGTAAGGGATTTTGTTAATTACACTCCCTTAGTGTACGTCAAACCCTTACCCTATCCATAGGCTCTCGGGTCCTCAGTTCCATCTGGATATGAGTTGTTCAGGTTACAAAACAGCTACGATATTAATATCTATAGTTTACATAAGTTAGTATAATTAAAAAAACAAACGTCACCAATTAAAATGTTGATATATTATTACCTGATTATATTCCAAACAATTAAATCTTACATAGTAATATGTATCAAATGATGCAAACATATAATTGAAGCTTACATAGTAAAAGAACTGATAGTGGAAACGAAATGAACATTTTTGGTCAAATTTTGAACAAGCCATTGCCCAAATTACAGCAGTAAGCAATAGGGCAGACTCTTCGAGAAGGAAATTTTACTGAAGGACAACATACAGCACCTATGACTAGTTCTAGCGACATAGTGAGACACCCAATTCCCAATCATCTGTTGGAAGCATCCGTGTACGTCCATGGAAGCTGACGACGGAATCTGTAAGAAATCACGGTGGTGATATGGGTTAAAGAAATGAAGCCGTGCTGTGCTTTATTTCATCTGTAGCGGCGACCTTGGAAAACTGGATGATTGTTCTCAATAATAGCCAGCGCTTCTGAGCCCTCCTTGCTCGGTTTCAGCAGCCTTGCTTACGTCGCCAAGAAAAACAAGACGACCTGTGGAAATTTCAATCCATTTTAAGTATGTTGATCATGGATAAAAATCCATCTACATTCATTAGTTCTTTATTCATATGGCTTCTTTTCAAGGGCACTATAGGCATTCTACTCTCACAAGCCCAATGAATCTGACTGTAACTTTGAAGAACTTATACTAAAATGTAATTTAATTATTAGCTGATTTCTAAATAAAAGCTTTAATATTATGTTTTACATTATATCAGAATTTTGGTCCAAGACCTTAGGATCTATCGGTTCTCAAGTTTTGAGTCAATAAGTTTCTATTCAGCATTTTGACTTGTGCAGCAATGAAATAAGTAAATTAAATTGTTGAATTTTTATTAAGGCCCTAAAACTATTAACTGTTCAACATGTAGTTTCGATCTGGGGCATTAAAATCCACCCAAGCTTTCACTGTGACTGGTTGCTTTCAAATTGATCTATTGACAAATATTTGGATTCTCACTAGAAGCCAAAGTCCTATACTACAAAATGCAAGATAACTAATTGTAACTCAATAAGCATGCCCCTTCCTCATTGGGTCATCAGTTCTCTACTACCTTTTTTCTGAATTAGTATACTTGAAGGCTAAAGATGATTGGTAAGCTTTCAAACTTTTAAAAGCAAAAAATTAAGGAAAGAGAAATACCATCTGCACGGATAGCAACTTCCCTTATGCGCCTAACAAGTCCAGTAATTGGGTCACTGAAAACTTTAGTCGCCAGGTTGCCCTCCAAATACAAAATCGCCCTATAATAAAGGAAGTAGCAAGTGTTTACCATTGACACTCATATATTTTTCCTTTGAAAAATATAAAATGCAAGAACATACAATAAATTTACTTGACACATCTCACATAACAATTAACAATTCTCAATCACATAGATGATTGTCATTCACAAAATTACTTCATATATATATATATATATATATATATATATATATATATATATATATATATATATATATATATATATATATATATATATATATATATATATATATATATATATATATATATAT